ACTGCAATTCTTTCATCAGCTGAAAATCAAAATAATATATAGCAAGGTGAAAGTTAAAAGAGAAGCATCTATTGTGCCTGTTTTTCTGCTTTTTGGTAGTCTGCCTAGTTAGTAGTAATTTGCAATTTCATTATCAAATTGTCAATATTATTCCTTTTCTTGAAAGAAAGGTATTTGTCTTCATTGAGGTTTCATTCCAAACAAAAACACAAATGTATTGGTTGTCAGAGGCTACCGCAAGTGGCTATGTTGCGGTCTTTTGTTTGGTTGACTTTTTCAAAACCAGGTGATATTTTCTTTAGCAACCTCTCCTGTCTAAAATATGACATTATTATATTGAACAGACATAATTTTAGTCCATATTAAATGCAAGGATTGAACTTTATATAATATAAAGTTTTGTTGCTAAATTGAATGTGTTTATTTTGCTAAAAAAATGTGTATGATCTTTTTGGTACAGTATAAGTAATGCAAATAAGTATCCATTTTTCGATTTTTCTTCCCTTCCATTTTCATTTGTTTTCAACAAATAAGTTTTTGGGTATGCTTAGTATAGTAATTTGAAACTACTAATTAGCAGTTTCATTTAATCCTATGAACAAAGCATTTGAATTATTAATAATAACAATTATCAATTATCAGATTAGGTAAAAGTACAGACTACTAGTTTCAAACTATATGCATAAAAGGCAATAATGTTGAAAGAGCAATTTAGACCATACGAAAACAATGGTTGCAATACGTAAAATGTATCCCCTCGGCTTGATCTTCGCTATTTCACTAGCATTGAGCATTGCCTTTCTTTCAATTGATGCTAGACCACTTGAAGCTGAGAATGATGCTCAATCGGCCACGCCAATTGCCATTTCCAACTTTGGAACACTAGCAAGAGGCCCTGTTCCTCCCTCTGGACCAATCAATCCGTCTACTCCCCAACAAAACAGGTGTTTCCCATGTCGCCTTCTAGGCCTTGTCTAACTCCTGATTTTAATTATCAATGAATTGAAGAAAGAATGACTCTTACCAACTCACGCTACCAACCAATAATCATCATTCATCATCACCAAATTAGTAGCAAAAACACCAAAAAAGGACAAAAAAAATCAGAGAAAAGAAAAGAGACACAGAAAAAGAAGATGGAGAAATGGGATTTTGGTCTTTTTGTTGGCTGAGTTGTGCTTTTCTGCTTTGAAGCAGTTAGGGAGAAAGAAGTCCAGTGAGTAGATGGTGGGGATTTTCCAATTTACTTAGGAAGAAGATGGGCAAGAAGACGGGGAGAAGAAAAGCAAGATTGAAAGTTATAAATGGAACCCTATATATCGTGGGTTTTTTTGTAAATAGAAGGAAGTGTGAGGATAAAATTAGAATAATATATTAATTTCATTAAAACCCAAATGAGAAGTTAAAACCTAAATGAGAAGCTCCTGCAGTAGCATCAATTTGGTTTTTTTGAGATTTGCAAAAGAATGAAGAGAAGACCAGCTTATGAGAAGTTGTAAATTTTTCATAATCTGTAATTTGTGGTAGAGCTTCTGTTTTTTAAGCCAAAAAGTTCTTCCCATAAACTGCACCAAACAACCCTTAGCCAGTAACAATTTGTTATAAAATGTAACAGCAGCTTAATTTTTAATTAGAAGTTAGTGAGTTAGTGCAATTCATGTCTGAGCCTTTAATAGAACCAATAGAGCTAACAGTTTAGAATGTACTAGTATTCATTTGGTGACTTCTTTACTACTTACTTCTTCACCAACGCATTCTTGCCCTTGATTGGTCGGTCTCTTCTTGTCCTCATCAAAAGTTTATAGCATTGTGGTCTTCAAGTAGGTAATTTTGACCACTGCTATTCCATAGTAGCCAGCAAACGCAACGCTATTAATTATTGGAAGAGGAGTATCAGTTAGGATAATGTTGTTAAAAAGTGGAAATTGTAATGCTATATATATA